CCAAGTCCCCTTGGCACTATCTTTTCAACCATCCCTCCGGTACGCCGAACGGGCAGATGCACTACCCCCCTCGCGGTATGTCACCAACTCAGGTCCCGATCACGCCACAGAGTGCTGCTTTGGGACCCGCTATGCAGGCGACAGTTCCCACGACGCCGCAAAGCGGTTCATTTGCAGCGGCATTCCACGGGAATGTCTTTGACCGAGCCGATGCTCTAATGGCCAACCCTGGCATCTCTATGGGGCGTAACGGAGGGTTTGGAAAGGGTCATATGGGATTCAGCTCACTGTCTTCACTATCTTCCATGTCCTCAGACGAGGGAATACTTCCTTCTCATGGGCCACTTGGGCCAGTACCACTCCGCCTGAACGGAGGCAAAGTTGCCTTTTAGATTACAGTATCGAGTCCTTACTTGGATCTCGACGTCAATAGCGGCTGTTGTTTGCATAAGGCCAAAGGGGGTCATTTGGTTATATCTAGAACTTATTGAGGCTTTTTGAACCGGCATATTGAGGGAAAAGTTCGCCGGAAGCCATTCCTTTACCGCATAGCCTTGGCGTTTGGGGTTGCAGTTGCATTTGTTTGCCCAAAATCAGGTCGGTCGAATTACATTTGCCTTTTGATCTTTCACGTTGAGAGGGTTTGCAGCTTGTGTTTGGGCATAATGTTAAACATTGTCTTTTTTAAGAGGAGCAAAAGTTGGGAAGAGATGCCCGTCATGATGACCAACAAAGGTCTCCGAAGATAAACAAAGACCTGTAAAGTACTACATATCAGGGACCGAAAAGGATATGGGCCAAAGCAGAGAGATGTCGCCTTGTACACTACCTAGCACATAACGAATCTATCTAATGCTTCTGGTATCCATTTCAGAGACAATCACGAAACTTGAGTATGATGCAACAGCCACGGCTAGTTACCTACTCAAAATGTAAGAGGGATTGTCTGATTTCTACAACCGAAGAGATCCATTATGAGCTCGCTTCGTGTTCTTAAAACGTAGTCGATCATGGTGTCACACCTGAAAGTCAGATCCCATGATCTTGGCCGTCAGCCGCGACGAGACCAAGTGTAACTCGACCCCACCAACATGCAGTGTAAGTATGAGCAACGTGAAACGGCGAAGCTACATCTCATTCCGTCTGTAAACCAATTATCGTAAAGTGCATCAATATTCCACTGGCATCTAGCGCATCATGTCAACAGCAGCTGCTTCTTCGGCCACTCATCATCAGCCCAGCACTTCAGCTGTGGCAACAGGCTCTTCCTCTTCTTCCTCTTCTTCATTATCTCCTCGCCCGCCGACCTCTCCTCCTCCCGCGATCGCATCTCCGTCAGTCGCCCACGCCCATGCTCACGCACAAATCCCCTCCGCAGCGCAGCAGACTTCGCCGCCGCCGCCGCCGCCTCCGCAACTACAGCCTACGCTTCCGTCGGCCGAGACACAGCGCCACGTAGCGGAAGCCCGTCGCGCTGTGGTCGCAACGCTGGAGAACATGATGGACTCTGAGCTGCAATGGCGCGCATCTACGTTACACTCCAACGCTGCGGCGCTGAGCAAGCAGGCGCAGGATGTGCAGCGTGCGACTGAAGGATTGCGTCGCGAGAACGTTAAGCTTGCGCGGGAAGCAGACGCTGCGGCGCGGAGGATTAAGGAGCTCGGTAACGTGCAGAATTGGGCTGAGGTGCTGGAGCGCGACTTTCTCGTCCTGGAGGAGACTGTCAGGCTCGCAAACTCCGATCGTAGCTGTAGCTGCAGCGAATGTGGAAGCTATACTGGGAGTGAGAGTGACGGCGATGATGTGGACGAGGTCCAGCGGGCCATGAAGCTTGACGAAGAAGAGAGGGGCAAGGGTGTTGAAGGGCGCAAAACGCTCGATGTTGAGATGGATATTGATACGGAAAACCATGCGCCGGGTACGTTTTCCGATGCTAGTAGGAGCTTGACGGAGGCAGACTCCAGCGTGGGAAGAGGGGCCAAGGGATCAGATACGGCTTCTACGTCAACGATTTCACGATGAGAAGAAAGAGCACCGAACGAGTGATGAGTCACGACCATTCTGAGTACATTATGGGACCAGGGAACTAGCATCCACGGTATATAAGTTTATAAGAACCATTCGTTATTGAACATTTCTATAGTATGATAGTCTAATACCGAGTATCCACCAGATCTACTCCGGTCCGAACCGCCTTTTGTTATTACTATAGTGTAGCCCATGATAGCTTCTATATGATCCGTCTCCTAATCTATGCCTACCGAAAAAGCTGTTTGCAGATACATTTCTTCTCAGATAAGGCCGGGGAAGATGACGTATCTCTTCTTCTTGTACCTGTCGCCGAACTCTTTGCGATAGGCACGCTCCTTGCCCTTGGCCCAGCTGATCATCTGTGCAGCACCAATAGCGATAAAGAAAGCGACGGTCCAGTCACGGCTGACAAGGATAACTCCAACCCATGCAAGCACCTCATACAAATAGTTTGGGCAAGTGACGATACCGAAACCATAACCAACGGGGATCTTGCGCTCAGTGCCACCAGTAGAACGCAGACTCGAAAGATATTGGTGAACGAGGGCATTCATGAACTCGCTGAAGCAATAGAGCGCAACGCCAACGGCATCAATGGCAGGAATATCGGCCTTGGCTGCAAGGGAGTTGGGGCTGTAAATGGAGTAGGCACAGAGAACACCAGAGACAGCCCAGTAGAAGAAGCTGTTCTTGAAGATGTTCTTCCAGGGCATTGTGTTGGCAGAGAACTTGTGGACAAAGAGTGTCTCATACTCGCGCTTGAAGAAGTGTAGCATGATCATAGCAAAGGTGATCCATTGGGTTCGAGACATGTCGCCGTCTCCATTGCGGTAGATGTAGGGGCGGGCAGCGACAGCGAGGGCGTGGAAGATGATGGGTCCGAAGTACTCGACGACGAAGACGGTTCTCCAAGGGATTTGATATCCTGTGATTAGAGTTAGAATGTGCTCACTCAAGGTCTTTGGCCAGTTTGACGCACCCATGTCCTTGACGAGAACCTCGCCAGTAGAAACTACGGCTGGCTCATCGACGAGGCGAGCCTTGCGGTTCTTGAGGGTCTTTTTCGTGGTAGGGTCATAGATTCCGACACGATTGAAGTCTCCGAGCTTGGTTTCCTTTGCAATCAAGACCTTGAGTCCTTCAACAGTGGTATCAGGGTCGACCTCAATCGACTCCGGGAGGTTCTTGATCGGTTGCCTTGGAGCTAGGGAATGTTAACTTAGTTACAAGGTGAATGAGGCTGAGTGTAGGTAGTAGAATACATACAGCGATTGGTGAGCGTGATAGATCGAAGAGAAGCCATCGTGTCTGTATCGTTGACTCAAAGTTGAACAACTTGGCAAAAAAAGGAGGGGAACAAGATCCTATCAAAGGATGCAATGGTGTTGAGAACAACAGGAAATAATTATTGGACGAGATTACCTACTAAGATAGAACAGGTACGTACCGTCTCTCAGTCGGGGACCTCGGCCTGATTTTGGTGGGGTGTCATGGAGGCTCCTTCCCGCTGTGGAACCCCCCTGGGGCTAAACTTTGTTGAGAAGAAGTGTCAGTGCATAATTGGTAGTTACATTGGTACACAACCAAAGAAGAGCCCCATGAATGAGAGGGTTGTCAGCTTGTGACAGTTGAGACAGCTGACTTAGCTTATCTTATTGAACGGTTCGAGTAAGTTTAGTATGGAATTAGAAGGGCTTTGGATTGGTCATTTTTATCACTTGGGATAAAGGTCTCAAGTATTCTTGTCTCCCTACCTCATCAAGTCCACATACTATACCTACCTACCTTACACAGTTGAGTTTCATATATCATTCACATTAAGCCATTAGATGCTATGAATATAGTCCGAGACATAAGGAACACTCAGGAGTATTTATGATTGCGATGACGCTGGCAGCGTTGGTCGAGTGACAGTTGTTGATGTTCTGGTTATTCTCGTAAACAAGGGGGAGGAGGAGGAGGGGGAGGAGGAGGAGGAGGCGGAGTTTTCTTCTACTATAACTATAAGGAATTAAGCCTATCTATCTTGGGTATTAAACAGATCTTTTACTATAAACGCAAGTTTGCCTTCACCTACGCAGCTCAGTATTATGGTTGTAGGTAGTGTTGAGTGTCAGGGCGTCTCAGCAGTAGCATTATTCATGAAATACATAGTGCTATGACCTTTGCCGGACAAGAAATGGCGTAAGATTGAATTAAAGTCATCTGATCTTTGGATAGAACAGCCAGCAAATCTCTCACTTTGTTCTGTTCGGGCGTTGACAGCTCTGACAACTGCCAGCAGGATCAGCCCATGAGCCTCCTCACCACCTCATCCATGATCTCGCATTCATTGAGTAAAAATATATTCACTCTTTGTTTTACTTTTCTTCGTCTTCTTTCTTCCATTTTGCAAGTTCAAGCCAAAATACCCCAGATCAGCATCTCTCAGTCACCGCGATTTGTTTGCTACCTAGGAGCTATCCCGCAGCTGGCGATCAGCTGCCGCGCATTCACGTCTTGACCTCACGCATGCCCTTTTAGCGCTTGAGCCTTTCGTTATTCCGCCCTTCTTCACCAGGAGGTTTTTTCTCTCCTTCTCGTGTACTCACAGTCTGCCTGCAATAGTTTCCTTTTACCACAAACTACTATCGCCGTTTTGTCAAAAAAAGACATCTTGTCCTTTCTATGAAAAGTCTCCGATACATGCACCTTACTGTTTGCTCAAAATCTGGGCATTGTATCACACCTCATAGGCAAGCAACTCAGAAGAAAACATAGGCCGTTCTAACTGACCTAAACCCTTCTTGCAGATCTATAGCTTACGGTTACCTGACAACAAGCGAATAACTCGAAACAGGCCGACAAACTTGCTCTTCATAGCCCATCTTTTGACTCTGTTGTCAAGCCGAATTATTGAACAACACATTCGATTTGTTGAATATCCATCGCTTTTCAAAACCTGCACATATGCATCACCAGGCACTATCATGAATCCTTGTGCGCCAACATTTATCCCGGTTGACCCTTCGGAAGATGAGTTCTCTTCTGACGAAGATGAGTCTTCTACTCCGTCTTCCATGGAAGTACGACATCCAGAGCAAGATGTACGCTCGCCTCGAGCACGGCCCCGTGGTAGAACGATTCCTTCCATCACCATCGACCCCGAAGGATACGACTCCATGTTCCCTGCTCTTGGATCTGTAAACCAGGTTGACCCTCTCAAGATTCGGAGTCCAAAAATGAAACAGAAGCAACGAAGCAGGTGCCGTAGGCCCAGAGGCAAAGACGACCGGGGCCTGTCCTCAGAATTGGTCAATGATGAACAGTTGAGCATAGAGCATCAGTTCTCGCAGTGCGCTGATGATGAGGAAGAGACTAGTAAACAGCCTCCCCTGGAATATCTGAAACCGACAGTTTACACTCCGAGGAAGTCACTCGAATTCCTCAAACCAGACGTTTATACACCTCCAGCCTCATCTCACAACTCTACCAGTCGTCCTAAAACCAGGGGAAGCATGCGGCCGGCCATCTCCAGAGCCAGAACCAGGTCTCCTAGGCGGGCATGGAGGCCCCCAACTCCCCATCCAGACGGTAGACCACGAGGCTCCAGATTACGACGTACACCTGCTCCAGACCAGAGATTTATGTCATCAGCAGGATATCCGGTTCCTCTGGTTTCCCCAAATCCCACTTACAGCCACTTTCCATCAGAACCTCCCCATCCAATGATGCATCATCCGATCAACTATGCGCCACGTATGGGGCCATCTCTGGTACCGCCTATGATGCCATTCTCGCCTCTAGCATGGCCTCTTGCCCCAGTCCCGTGGTCGGCCCATTTGGCTCTACCAGAGGTTGTGATGGACTATCCGGAGGACTATGATAGCCATTATGAACAAATGGATTGGCCTTCATTTGAGGGAGACAGTGGGATGTATTATGCGCCGCAGCCGGCAGCAAATCTGCCGCCACAACATTTCGTCTATTATCAGCCCCATAGTCAATACCGAATGCATTTGCAACCTCCAGAAAGGTCTGGATTCCATCCAACTTCCCGGGGCAGTGATTCACAGAGTGAGTCGAGGAGTCAGCCCTCAAGAAGTCAGCATGAGCAAAAGGCCAGTACTTCTAGTTCCGCCAAGGCAAGCAACTCTAGCTCTGGCGCAGCTACCAATGTGTCTGATACTACAACCCCTTTGAGAACCCAGTTCGATATGATCAAAGATCAAAGTGGAGGGGCACAGCTGAGGTCAAAGCACAACAAGTATCCTGATATTTAGATGACTTCAGTGCCTGTTGGTAAAGACCGTCAACTTCTCAGTGCCGTTTGCAGTGACGACTCGACACAAGAGGATGTCAAGAAAGAGCTTCGCAAGGCGGCTGACTATAGTAAGATCAAAGGGTTCATCCCAACTCGGCAGGCACAAAATTCACACGATTCTCCTCGCGTTGGGAGAGGTGCGAAGATCAACCTTAAGCGAGAGACCACACCCCAAGAGGAGAACAAAGCTCAAGAGACTCATAGACTGGTCGATCCGCTCCAGAATGCACCCAGAGGTCCATCTTCCGCCCGCCAACTTCCTCAGACGTTCAGTTCTACCTTGAAACAGACTTTCAATCTGAATGGGTCTGAATCGGGTTCATGGTCTCAATCCAAAAGATGGACAAGCTTTGCTACAAAGGAACGGCAGGCATTTCAGAAGATGATGGCCAATCTGCGCTACATGAGCGCCGACCAGTCTCCATTTGTTCCTCAGAGCCCAGTAGAGCTGACAGCTTTCAAAGCAAACCTGGCAGAATCAAAGACGAGGAAGCTCGATCAAGAGGTTAAGCAACGTCTGGCAAGGACGAATGCGAGCGTCGATGAAGGCGCGGAGACTCAAGTCCAACCTGTTGTGGAGTTCCTCCGTGGGAAGAAATTTGATGATGGTCTTTCCCCCGTGTTCGCAGCTAGCAATTGCTTCAGCACATCACAGAACCAGCCGCCGTATGGAGCTGGATGGCCAACCCTCGCCGAACTCAAGGAAGAGGGAGACAAACGCTCGAGTCGACAGGGTCGGTGCCTGCCTCTACCAAAGCTGGATCTCGTTTCGCACACATTATGGTCGGAAACATCTGGGGCTTGCAGCTCTGACGGGGCAGTCCGTAACGATAAGAGAACTGTTCAAGTCGGATCCCACTATCTCTGTCCTGTGACGCCAGAGGAGCCTTCTATTGCGCCACCGATCGAGCTGCAGCCAGAAGAACTCCCTTTTATTCTTGCTGAACTACTTCAATCCATCGATGCAGCCGAAGATGATGCGGAATGGACGGAAGAGAACAACGAGAAGATGATTGGACAGGACCATGAAGAGAAGGCCAAGGAAAAAGGAAAAGGAGCAAAAGATTGAAAAGAGGGAAGATTCAAAGTAGAAACCAGCAGAAAGCTGGAAGGGCTACCTACCCATGGCATGGGCTTAACATCATTTCTATTCGTAAATGATTGGATGTGCCAGCGCCGGGGACACGGCTGAAGGCGCTTTGGACAGACTTTTGAGATTTTGAGACCAGCAGTTCTAGGAAGATCTTCACGATCCTTGCTATCAAATTTGGGGGAATTCAGAGATTGGAACTGCAGCAGATAGATACTACACAAAAGCGAATATAAAACAAAGGGAACCTCAACCTGACCCTAGCAAGATGATAGTATAAGGTGCTCAGTGTGAACATTTAGGACACTTTTCTAGGCACCTTACTTAGTTCATGGATTTTATGATGTGAGTTGGGTGTTATACTATTGGTCACTAATTTGCAGGGGAGTGTGTCGGGCCCACGCTAGAACTCTCTGCTCTCTTGAGTGGAACATCTATCTTCCCGGCCAGCGCCTGCAATAAAAACTGTGAGCATCGGAGTCACGTGGTGCACTTACCGAATCAGTTTTGGCAAGCCCTAACCGTCCGCACTTGCCAAATCCTCCACCCACGTTTCCGTAGCTTGAATCCTCGTTCAGCCAAAAAGTTCTTCACGACCATCCGCCAATTCGATTGCCTGGTGAGCGCCAACATCATCAGGTAAGTTGCCAGTCGACAAGAGCGAAGAGACGAATTCAACCAATACGCTGCGCTGCTCGATGATCCCCCATCTCGAAGAATCCGCCGATTGAGTTGCTCGCTCTCCTCTGTTCTCTCTGTCTCCGTCAAGCAAAGACACCGGCTAACCACTTCGTCTTTTCTTCTCTCTTACAGAAACCGCAATCATGGGTATCTCGCGTGACTCTCGACACAAGCGCTCCGCCTCCGGTGCCAAGCGTGCCTACTACCGTGCGTAATAATTCCGAAAGCCCGTATGATCCTCTGGACATACGTTCTGACCTTTGACAACAGGGAAGAAGCGCGCTTTCGAGGCTGGTCGCCAGGGTGCCAACACCCGTATTGGCCCTAAGCGCATTCACACCGTCCGAACCCGAGGTGGTAACCACAAGTACCGTGCCCTCCGTCTCGACTCCGGCAACTTTGCCTGGGGCTCCGAGGGTCTCACCCGCAAGACCCGTGTCATTGCCGTCGCCTACCACCCTTCCAACAACGAGCTTGTCCGAACCAACACCCTCACCAAGAGCGCCGTCGTCCAGGTTGATGCCGCTCCCTTCCGACAGTGGTACGAGGCCCACTACGGCCAGGCCATCGGCCGAAGACGCCAGAAGGCTCAGGCTGCCAAGGAGGGCAAGACTGAGGAGGAGGTGAAGAAGTCCAACGCTGTTGAGAAGAAGCAGGCTGCCCGTCTGTCTTCCCGCGGAAAGGTCGAGAGCGCCATCGAGAAGCAGTTCGAGGCTGGTCGACTCTACGCCGTTGTTTCCAGCCGACCCGGTCAGTCTGGCCGTGTTGATGGTTACATTCTGGAGGGTGAGGAGCTCGCTTTCTACCAGCGTAAGCTCCACAAGTAAACTTGTCAAAACAAAAGCCACATAAAGAACCAAATGTCGGCCCCTGGTATGGTGTTCAAGGATTTCTCGCTGTCTTGATAGTTAGGACAAGATGAGCTTAACATAACGCATCGGAATGGGTCCTTAGGGAATGAAAATTTTTCTTGCGCTGAATTTACTTCATGATCAAGGTTTCTGTACTTGCCCAATGTGACTTGATGTTCTGGCTGGGATGTCGAATCTAAAAGGTGTTTCATTCATTCTATATGGGGTATGTACTTGTAGACGGAAAAAGTCAACGGCTTTGCCCTTGTAGAACATAGAAGGCTGGCTGTACTGTAGCATATTCCGCCACTATCAATGCTGTACGGCAGTTCACATCGTAAATAGTAGCAAAATGCGGGAATCGACGCCGCTATTGTCTTATTCCCTGTCTACTGTCATTACAAATGCCTAATTCTACATTTTCAGCAAACTACTAAGCCAACAGGGCCAACTGCAGTAAGCTAAAGGTGGAATCGGGTAAACAAGAATACTTTATACATGAAGTATGGTTCAGGACCAAATAACCAGAACAAGTTTACGGGACTTCTTCCGAGTTTCTCATGCAAACTGACGCTTCAAGTCAGTCCACTTACGATTCAGGGTCTCGTGTTGAGAGTTGATCTAGAATGATGTGTCAGTAAATCAACTAACTTCAAAGAAACATGAGTGAGCAATGGGAGGAACTCACCTCTGCATAGCGCAGCTTTGTCTGGACCAGCTCTTCTTCCAGCTCGGACAACTCCTTTTCGAGTCTTTGATTCTCCTCATGAACATGCATGTTGCGCTTCATCAGATCGTCCCGCTCAAGTTTCCATGTCTCCTCTATTTCCATGGGTTGCTTCTCGATGACGATCTTCAACTCCCGAACTTGGCCCCTCATGCTGTCATTCTCGTCTTTGAGTTCCTGGTTTTCAACCTTGGTGTGAACAAGCTCTGTGGCCAGGTCTGCTTGCTCACGATCGCATGCTTCAACCCTCTCCTCCAGTTTCCGGACTTGAATGGAGAGATTATGATTTGATGTGCGGAGCTCCAGGAGTTCGTTCTCGCGATCCTTCTCGGCCTTGGTTTTCTCTTCCCATTCTGTGCTATAAGATTTGAGCATTTCTGGTGTGATTTTAACTTCACAGGCATCTTTTACGAGCTGGTCTGCACGATAGACTTCCTTATCGATGCTAGAGCTCGAGCTTCCAAAAAACCCATTTTCAAGAAGACTGCCATGGCTAGGATCCTTATCAATGTAGACGTCGAACAGTTTGTCCTTAAGATATGTGGTGAGTTGCTGCATATCAGACAATCCCAGGAGAATGCTGGCATTCTTCTGCATTAGAACAATTCCGAAGCGTAGAATTGCTGACAAGCCCTCGGAGAAGATAAGGTCGTAGATGCGAAGTACTAGTTGAAGAGGAAACCGGTAGGCAAAAAGCGTCAAGAACCATTGCGTAGCATAGAGGTGAGGAGATATTCCTCGCCGGTGAAGATGGCAGTATAATGCTGGTTCGAAGTCTTCCAAAAGCCGCTCGAACTGATAAAGATGCATGTGCAGTCCCGGCATATCCTGGATAAACAAATCCCGCAGCTTGTAGTGATTCATTAGTCGAACAAGGAGACAGAAAGCTTCCTGCTCAGGCATCTAGAGAGTATGTGAGCATGTCACAAAAGCCGTGCGAGAGTCTGACTTACGTTGAACAGTAGTGGCATGATGAGAAAATTCATACCCTGGGCGTAGCCAACACCTTCGTCAAAAAGGGCATATGCCTTGCAGACACCAAACAGGCCCTCTTGAAGCCCAGCAGCAGCCGCATACTTAGAATAGCTGGTTCGAGCACCAAGATCCCGGCGTATTGTCTTCTCCAGTTTCTGTAGTGCCGCCGCGTCCTCCTTGTCCTTCCGCTTCCGCTCTGCCGCTGCCGCAGCTTGAGCCTTCAGAACAGCCTCTGCGCTCTTCTCGTTTGGAGATGGCGTGCCGTTTGTTCCTGAGTGGTCCGAGTTGATGGAAGAGGCTGATGATGTGACGGCGTCCCCGCTATGAACGCTGAGGTTTCCGTTGCTCAGCGAACTAGCAGTCGTACTATTACTGTGACGGTCTTTGCTCTTGTCTGTACCGCGAACCACCAGATCTTTATATACTAATTCCAAGTCATCGTTCTTGCTATCAGCCAACACCTGCCAGACAACGCCACGGATTGCACTGGGGATGCCGGTTGCAATAGCTTTGTTCAGTTCCTCGGCGCTAGTTCGAGCAACAGCAGCTGGGCCCTCATATACAACAGATTGCCACAAGTCCCAATCAACTTTTTCTTCTGAAATGGCCGAAGGTCCTGCGTTGACTCCCGCAACTGTGCCGGGGGCCAGCCCAGGAATAGGCTGAGGAACAGGCGATGACGGAGGCTTCTCTTGCGGTTGGCCTTCATCACCTGGCAAAGTAAGGCCAAGAGCTCCGTCATATTTACTACTGTCACCTTCAGCCATTGCGCGAGCAGCTTCTTGTTGTTGTCGCAGTTGCTTGAATCTGTCTTTCAGGGTGACCCGTTGGGCAGGGTCACCGGGTAGTGAGTGTCCATCCTTTTCCTCCTCTAGTCGACTCAACATCATTTCAGGATTGCTTGATAGTGTTGCGATCGAACCAGCTGTGTTCCTTCGGCCAGCAGGGAGAGGCGGAAGCGGAGGTTCTCTCTCTTTGCTTGAGCTTCGGGAAAGCCACGAGAAAGGACTTGTCAGCTTTCGACTAGGCGGAGGCGGAGGCTGAGGCACTGGTGGGGTGGGCGCAAGTGTAGCTGTTGATGGCACAGGGCTTTTGGAAGTATCAGCGGCGGGCGACCACGGCATAGACGGAAGAGAGATGCTGTTCAGAGATATCGTCTTGCTGTTTGGTTTCGGTGGAAGATCTTTTGGCACTACAAAGATCAGTATTATGCGCAGTATTATGGACGAAGAGAATGTGCATACCTGGAGATGGGGGCGTATCGTCGTCAAGACTGACGTTATCCAGATTTGAAGTATTGGAAATTCGTGTAGAAGCTATTGACGGTTTGCGTCGTGATTGCTTTACTTTGCCGCTGCCTGCCTCAGATCCAGTGACTTTATTCTCAGTGGCCTTTGTGTCTAGACTATCCGCTTGGGGATGCGACTCTTCAGACGGCCGATCGGTTCGCTCCTCCACTTCGCTGTCACGGCTTTTAGCCTGTGAGATATTTCGTTTGGTAAGGGACCTTGCAGGGGACTGCGTTACAGCATCTTCGAATTTATCATCAGCGTCAGATGCCTAGAGAAATTAATTAGCATTGAAGCGAAATAAGGGATGGCATCTGTCGTGTGACTGGCACTGCAGTAGTCGAGGGAGGAATGTGGGATGAACCTACAGACAAAGTGTCGTCAGACTCCGTGCCAGACGAGAGTCTTTTGACATTGGTGTCGTTTTGCGACAGCTGCTCTTGTTGATTTTCCTCTGGCTTGCCATTTGACTCTTCTGTTTTTTCTTCGTGCTTCACTTCGGTGTTGTCTTCAGCCTTATCTTCATGTTTCTCTGCTATGCTGTCTTCGTCTTTTTTGTGCATGTCTAAATCTTCTTGTTTGTTCTCCGTTGTGACTGTTGTTTCCTTTTCGTCGTGTGCATCTGGCCCATCTTGCTTCTCGGACATTTCGTGGGTATTCTGCTGCTGCAGCTCATGCTTTTCAGACTCGGCATCGGTGTGGTGCTGGGCTACCGGCGAGGCAACATCTTGCGGTTGCGACATGGTTGAGGATGAGGATGTTAAATGGACTCGAGATAACGGTGTGTTGTTCTCGTCGAGGATAAAGGAACGGTTAGGTGGCCTCGACCATGGATCAAAGCCGGATAAAGAAGCAATCAATGCAGATTGTATCGGTCAAATTGGGAACGAGAGACTGGGTAGGTACTGCGTCCGGCGGCAGAATGAATGGAAGAATGCCAGAAGCCAGCTGTTGATAGAAATCCGATCCAAGGGGGGGGTGGTTGTGGCGTTGGTGTTCCTGTCTGCCCCCTTAGTTACTACGTTGACAGTGGAACTGGAACTGGAACTAGAATTGGAAGCTCGCAAGGGTTGTGACAGTGAGGCGCCGGCGGAGTTCGCCAAAAATAAATCGGGGCGGCCCTGTACATAGCAGGAGTTCGGGCGAGGCTGGTTGGGCTGCCGCTGAGAGGTTGATGAACCAGCCCGGTGGACCCTGGGACATGGACTCAGACTCTCAGTTAAAAGGTGCCCTGTAGTTGAGCTCCTAGGCTCCCCCGCCCTGACCACCAAGGGAGACCAGCAGAGCTTGAGAATGGAGCTATTCTAGGAGACGCCCTGATTGTCGATTCAGCTACAAGAAAACGTCAGACAAAGAAGTCTGGAATGTAGAGTATCCCTTCATTATGTGGCCATTTTGATTAGAGTGTTATATGGCTGGTTTCGCTTGGAATTCAAAATTGCATCATTTCTACTCGAGGCTTTACCGTGAGGAGTTCTTCTAAGGGAGCCACGCTTCACTGGTCTTCAAAGTTGTACAGAATGCTGCCTGTCGTATATACATAGGTACCTTATAGAAGAATCTCTGCTTGAAATCATGGAGAGGGCCTTGGGTCTTTGGTCTTTGGTCTAAGTTTTCTGCACACGGCTGACTCAGTCTTAAACACATAATGTGACTGACGGTGCGAGTGTCTATCGAACTGCATAGGTGCTGTGGCAATTCGTGATAAGGGTTTTGTGAGATGACTTGGAATTTTATTGCAGCTATCCGTAGGATGGTCAAACAATATCTCATTTGGCTGTCAGACGGGGTTAAAGAACATCATGCCTCTAGATTCAGTATAATTTTAGTCTTCAGGGCCTACCTATCATTCAAGCTCTGGTCTTTCTTTAACAACAGCATCCGCGATCTCATTCTCGCACCTTGCTGGCGTTTGTCCATCCAATATCTTCCATGTCACAGCATACCTACTAACTAAGCTAACGTTAGTTGTATTGTAGTTAACCAGCTGACGCCACATTTATCACTCTCGCTCTTGGATGTCACTACCCCTCCCTCAATACATACTTTTATTTATTTTTACTTTTTACTTTACATACACTCCAATGGCGTCAGAGTCTAGTCTGTATGCCTATACTGTGGTTACGTTCCATTCTCGATTTCACGTTGATGTCATAAGCGCATTAGGTTTATGCACAATCGAAATAGGCAGTCGGGATATAACAAGGGCAGGACGGGTCAAGTGTTAAGACTAAGCCAAAAGTTTGGGGGACCCTTTCTAGCCCTTGCTGTAGCAATATCTTCCTAGGTATACCTCAGGGACCTGGAAAACATCGAACCTTGATTCAGGTGTCAAAAAAAAACTTAGCAAAGGTATCCTGAACTTATGCTAAGTTACCTGAGTTTTTGTCGTTTCCATTAAGATCGAGGTCCCGGGTGACTAAAATCAAGCTAATACTTTGTTTCACGAGTCCTTTTCTGGCTTAGAATTACGTGGGTCTTGTAATATCCAGTGGTGACCCAAGAGTGCCTGTTTCAAGGCCAAATTCTCAAGCTAAGTCTTGGGCAGTATACTAAATCTTGAATCCAGCTGTTGAAGGAGGGTTGTCATTACAGATGCATACATAGTAGACGCCAGTATGGACAATGCGTAGTTACCTTGGCGATTTGGCAGGGTTCCTTTCGCTGAGACTGGGCAGTTGTTTCATCAGAGTTTTTTCATGGTTAGGCAGGTAGCCAAATAATATTGATATCCATCTCCAGATCTTCCGCACTTGATGACGGCAATTCCGACAGATCAGTATTAGGCACTGACCGAGTATCGATAGCAGGCTTGGCTAGCATGGTAGTTAAAAGATTATGTGTTGTCAAACACATGGTGAGCTAAACAAAAACACGTACAGAGTGGGCAACACACGTAGTGTAAGTTCTTAGTGGTTAAGTGACGGCAGAATGAAAACAACGTAATAACAAGCCGTGGATCTCGCTCTGAAGAAGCATACCATACATATGCTCATAAAAGCTGCCTGGTACATTATCAATTCAAGTATCCACACCCAAATCAGCAATGAACACAGATCTAATGCCCGTTGCTGCCTTCGACGTGAAACGCACTAGATACAGCTACCCTATAATTTAATGTCTGTCATGCCGTCTACAAGGCTCGTTATGGGATCTAGACAACTGGGGTAAATTAAAAGTGTGATCTGCCAAGCTACATAGTTACACTTCTTAAAAATGGCTCATTAGTGTCATTATTGTCCATTAACTTAAACAATAAGGTAGACACTACTCTGTAGGAAGCCCCGAGCTTGAAGTTCAGAGGCAGGGCTCCCTAACCACTGTAAGAACTTGTTGCCATGGCCTTGCAAAAGTAGGCATCCTTTAGCCAACAATCGGCTGGGTATTAGGAAATTGGCAACGTAAATAAGATGTAATTAAGGTACTTGCTTCTCTTAAGTGCAGTGTGTAGGCTCGAACATTGTACAAGAAGCTACTCAGATCTGCTATTACTTACTAACTTTGGTATTATGTAATAGAAGAAATACGTTTGCAAAATAAGGAAGAAAATCAAGCTCATAGGAATAATCATAGGCAACAAGAAATATACAAGAAGCGAGCTGTTTGCAGATCAAGTTCCTGCCAACCTGTGGATCCTTATTGACAATAAGTCACTTTGTTTGTTTCGTGATCTGGTATTAGTTATCAAGTTCAGCCTGGTTGGATATGAGGGGAACTCCAAGCCGAAGAGATAATCCGATCCTTGAATTCGGGAAATTCTGTACCCTGCAGTGGAAGGTTGGCCTCGGGGGTACCTTCACCCCACTGTACATAGCTTCCGGCACCTATTACGCAAAGGCCCACTTGCACTTCTCAACCTGACGATTTGCAATAACTATACCTTTTCCCCATCCTACACCTTCTCTCCGCACCATCATAAACCACAACTTTCATACCTATACGAGATATCTCGCATTACCACACCGGCTGGTAAAAGCAGGAGATATATATCGTCTCTATAAGTAAGGCGATACGATTTAGCTGCGGATTAAAGCTATTCTAGGACGACCTGCACTCGGCCTCGGACTGCTTTCCAAGCTTCATCGACCATCTATCTTCCATAGGTACTCTGTCTAGCGAACACGCTTTTGCTCACGATCCGACTATCACGTAACAGCCGCCAAAAGGCTTCTGATTCCGAATACGCCATTTCTTTCCGAGGAGAAGGTTTATCTGGATCCCAGCTTGGAGCCTTTTCGACTTGAAAGCCCCACGAAAATCGAAAACTTCACCACCGCACAAACTGCGGATAGAGGATATTTCATAACTGAAAACGCCCGATCGAACAGAACTCGCGGACATATTCAATTTTTTTTCTTGAGCGGGTTGATAGCCCGGCTGTAGTGGAGGGGGCGATTCTTCAGTTTCCTGCGGCTCAGCCGCCTCACCTTCACCATGGGGAAGATCACTAAGCCCATGCAACCAAAGCACAAGGATACTTTGGTTAGTGACCAAATGAAACAGCCGGAAGGTGCATAGCTAACATGATCTGTAGTCTCCTTGGCTCAAGAGCTACGTCGAAACCATCTCAACAACGCCACTGCCTCTCTTACCACAAAAGTTGGAAAGCTTTCCATCTCGATGGCCCTTCGGACGCGGCGATCTTTACCACTGGATTCCTCTCCTGAATCGTTTTGATAGCATCTTAGAGCACTTCTGTGCTACATATAAGCTGAACGAGGGCCCCCAGACCCGCGACTTTGGTTGCGATGTACTGCTCAACCAAGATCAGGAATCGACCTTTGGTAGCGAGCGGCGGTGGTCAACGGAGGAGCTAACAGGGTTGGGATTTTCATCAAACGGAGACCAACAACTAGTGGAGGTGGTCCTGCGCTATACGCGAATGCTACTGGAGCACTGCGGTAACCGGAGTATCTATGCCAGCAGCGCCCATCTTAACGACCTTCTCAACACCACGTCTCTTAGCGTACTGATTGCAACACTTGAAGTCGGTTCAGAACTGGCACAAAGGTACCAAGCCTCGGTCAAGCGTATAACAAACCCCTCCAGGCAGATCAGCGCAGCTTTGCTGGCAAACCACTACAATATCGATCTCGATAGAGTTCAACAGCTTGCTCTACCTTTTGTGAAGACGCCGATCGTCAGTTTGTCTGATCCTGTAACAACTCAGACACCTGGCTCAACCAAAGGAAAAGAACGTGCACAGGGAGGAAGCCCCAAGTCAGCTAACTCCATACATGCGAATGATCTAGTTGCCCTTGCGGCCTCAGACAACAAACGGTGGCATGGCTGGGGAGATGTCAAGGTAGCATATTATCCCCAGAATACCCTGCAAGACTCTGCTGGTAACGATGCTGAGCGTGCGTCGCTTCCGTCCACACCAACACCCCTGCGTCGTAGTTCTACCATGACGTCCCAGCATCATACCCCGAAAGGTCGGGGTAATTCCGAAGATTCCTCTCCAATTGCCCCCCGAACGCCCGGTGTTTCAGACGAGACAACGTCTGCTGGACCAAAGTCCTACGAAATACCACAGTCCGTCATTGCATCGACTTCCGTCTATGAGTTGGTGTCACGCACTCCCGCGGATCTGCCACCCGCCTCGAAATACGAGGCGTTCCACAGGATCAGAGTCTCCAAAGCTCTTATGGATTCTGGTGAATCGCGGCAGAAGTTGCTTGCTGTCCGCCTCTTAGCAATCAACAATCTTGCATACATTCATAACGAAGCCAACTTTCTCGAG